GAATTGTATAAAAATTGATAATTTCATTACAAATTTTTTAATCCATACACTTGAACATTAGAATCGGATACAACACCATTTAAGAATCAATACCACTAGAAGATGATGAATCACTGCTAGAACTAATTAAGCTAACTACTGGCATTGCGTTGATTTCCACCTCCACTTCCACTGTCTTCATCCTTCTCGATCTTGATGGGAGGAAAGCTTATCACAGGCGTATTATCCTCAATATCCCTTGATCTACCCTACGAAAATCAACACAAAAATCATTGTTCCTAGAGCCAATCACGAAATGCAGTAGATAATCGTTTTGTCATTGCACATTGGAAAAATATAGTGTTGAATTAAGCATTACCATGTCATTACTCTGCATTGTTTGTGGTTGGAACAGTAGCTTCAGTAGCAGGATTGTAGAAATACTATTCATGGACTTAGTTAAGTGCTTTGGAACATGAAAGAAAACCAAGGAATGAATTAGAGAAGCACTAGATAACACTAGATACCCAAACCTGACTCCTCTGTAGTTTAAATAAGAGGAAAAGAAAGAATAAGTGTGTTACGATTTTCCTATAGCAAGGGAAGGAATATTAGGGTACACAATTTCATTTATTGATCAATTATAATTGTCTAATCAATATTCTTAACTTAATGTCGCGTTCGGTCGAACTCTTCTAACATATTCAATTTACATCTCTCGAACTTAAACTGAATCTAATTAATTAAATCAATTATATATCTCTATGTTCATGATACACCTTAGTTAAACACATTAAATTTCTAAAATTCATGTAACGATTACATTAACTAGAAAATGTATTTCTACACTTTTGTACTAGTTCCCAAATATTACGATGTGATCAAAACCTATAATTCACCTCTCGGCTCGTTTAAATTCATAAGATCATTAAATTATTGGTCAAGTAATTCAAAGCATGAACAACCATAAATAAAAGCAACAAGTGTCAAATTGAGAACTAGAATCTTGGAAATTGAATTAAAGGATCTCAAAATACTACATTATTCAACCTAACAAAAAGTTTAGCTATGCAATAGCATATTAAATAAAGAAAAACAAAGAAGTAAATAAATCTTGCACCAAGGTCCTCTTCTTGTTTGAATCAATGCTTCAGATCCTAATCTTGAGTTCTTGCTTTCCTTCGATATGTTTCTCTCTAATTTTTAAGTTATGGAACTCTTTTCTCATTTAAATAGGTTTTTATATAGTATTACACTTCATATAAGAGTTCCCATAAAAGATAACATCAAAAACGAATAAAAAAACTAAAAAGATAAAAAAGAAAGGCAAAAACGTGTGGGTTGCAAACTCGCATTCCACTCTCGGCAAACAGGGCCTCCCAATAGCCACAAGTCGGCTGCAGGTTTGCAATCCCCGAGCTACCAGTGGCATGCAACTTTTTATTTTGCAATTTAAGTCCTTCAACTTTTCTTCTATTTTGTTCTTTGAACTTTTCACTTGTCAATTTTTCGTCCTTAATCTCATGAATATCTTCCAATTTCATCCCAAAACTTCTTCCAATTGATCGATTTCAACCCTGGATGATCTTCAAGTATCCAAATTAATCTCCATTTAAGCTCAAAATCACCACTTTTTGCATAAATTGCTCTCAATCTCAATCTTTTTCTACAAATTACATCATTTCACATAATTGATAATTACATAGAAATTCACTAAAATAACCCAAAATTTATCAAGGTTAAAAGTATAAATAAGCATGTGAAATACACTTATCAGCAAGTAACAAAAGATGAGATAGATTATCCTTTGGATTATCAATTAATTGGTAATTTGCACAAAACGTCCACATATCATTTGCTTTACTATTTTTTTTTACACAAATTGTCTCTACCATTTCAATTTTTACATTTTCACCTTCAAATCCATCAAACGCATCTCATCCCTACTATAATTTTCATTTGTTAAAGCCTTATAAAATAATGAATTTACCCTTATCTTTAAATTAATAAAAAGAAAAAATAAATAAATAATTGGGTCCAGGGTCCCAAATCTTTTAAAAATGAAAATGAGTCCCACTTAAAACAATTAAAAAAAAGAAAAAAATTATTTCTTCTTTATGTCATAAAACTAATGATATCACTAATATTGCGAATTTATTCTTTAAGGAGATAGTGCACTTACATGGAGTACTTATGAGTATTGTATTGGATATGAATGTTAATTTCCTTAATCATTTTTGGAAGGTTTTGAGGGGGTAAGTTAGGAAATAAGATATTATTGCCTACAACTTGTCTCCCACAAACGGATGGGCAAACTGAGGTTAATAATAAGATTATGATACAACTGTTGTGCACTATAGTCAATAAGAACTTGAAGAGTTCGGATAATTGCTTGCCATTTATAGAATTTGCATATAATATGGCCACACATTTTTTACTTCTTATATTCCATTCGAAATTGTTTATTGTTTTAATATACTAATACCTTTGGATTTAATTTATTTACCTGTTGATGAGAGAGGTAGTGATTATGTCCAAAGAATGACGTGATAGTTGTAGTATAGCTTTGGGGTGTCGTATCCACAGGGAGATGGAAAATGTTTAAAGGTTCCAAAAAGAATGAATTTGACCTCTCAAAATTGTAGTAAATTCAATGTTGAAGTAGCTAAGTTAAAGTCAAT